CAGAAGCTTTTTCTGCATCTATTGAGATGAACATATGGTTTTTATTTTTCAGTTTGTTAATATGGTGTATCACATTGATTGATTTCTATATATTGAAGAATCCTCGCATCCCTGGGATAAATCCCACTTGATCATGGTGTATGATCCTTTTAATGTGCTGTTGGATTCTGTTTGCTAGTATTTTGTTGAGGATTTTTGCATCTATATTCATGAGTGATATTGGCCTGTAACTTTCTTTTTTTTGTAGCATTTTTGTCTGGTTTTGGTATCAGGGTGATGGTGGCCTCATAGGATGAGTTTGGGAGTGTTCCTGCAATTTTTTGGAAGAGTTTGAGAAGGATGGGTGTTAGCTCTTCTCTAAATGTTTGATAGAATTCACCTGTGAAGCCATCGGGTCCTGGACTTTTCTTTGTTGGATGATTTTCAATCACAGTTTCAATTTCATTACTTGTGATTGGTCTGCTCATATTTTCTGTTTCTTCCTGGTTCAGTCTTGGAAGGTGATATCTTTCTAAGAATTTGTCCATTTCTTCCAGGTTGTCCATTTTATTGGCATAGAGTTGCTTGTAGTAGTCTCTTATGATGCTTTGTATTTCTGCGGTGTCTGTTGTAACTTCTCCTTTTTCATTTCTAATTCTACTGATTTGAGTTCTCTCCCTTTTTCTTGATGAGTCTGGCTAAAGGTTTATCAATTTTGTTTAGCATCTCAAATAACCAGCTTTTAGTTTTATTGATCTTTACTATTGTTTCCTTCATTTCTTTTTAATTTATTTCTGGTCTGATCTTTATGATTTCTTTCCTTCTGCTAACTTAAGGGGTTTTTTGTTCTTCTGTCTCTAATTGCTTTAGGTGTAAGTTTAGGTTGCTTATTTGAGATTTTTCTTGTTTCCTGAGGTAGGATTGTATTGCTATAAACTTCCCTGTTAGAACTGCTTTTGCTGCATCCCATAAGTTTTGGGTCATCGTGTTATCCTTGTCATTTGTTTCTAGGTATTTTTTTTATTTCCTCTTTGATTTCTTCAGTGATCTCTTGGTTATTTAGTAGCATATTGTTTAGCCTCCATGTGTTTGTGTTTTTTACGTTTTTTTCCCTGTAATTGATTTCTAATCTCATAGCTTTGTGGTCAGAAAAGATGCTTGATATGATTTCAGTTTTCTTAAATTTACCAAGGCTTGATTTGTGACCCAGGATGTGATCTATCCTTCAGAATATTCCATGTGCAGTTGAGAAGAGAGTGTAATCTGCTGTTTTTGGGTGGAATGTCCTATAAATATCAATTAAATTTATCTGGTCTGTTGTGTCATTTAAAGCTTGTGTTTCCTTATTAATTTTCTGTCTGGATGATCTGAACATTGGTGTAAGTGAGGTGTTAAAGTCCCCCACTATGATTGTGTTACTGTCGATTTCCTCTTTTATAGCTGTTAGCAGTTGCCTTATGTATTGAGGTGCTCCTATGTTGGGTGCATGTATATTTATAATTGTTATATCTTCTTCTTGGATTGATCCCTTGATCATTATGTAGTGTCCTTCCTTGTCTCTTGTAACATTCTTTATTTTAAAGTCTATTTTATCTGATATGAGTATTGCTACTCCAGCTTTCTTTTGATTTCCATTTGCATGGAATATCTTTTTCTATCCCCTCAGTTTCAGTCTGTATTTGTCCCTAGATCTGAAGTGGGTCTCTTGTAGACAGTATATATATGGGTCTTGTTTTTGTATCCATTCAGCTAGGCTGTGTCTTTAGGTTGGAGAATTTAATCCATTCACGTTTAAGGTAATTATCGATATGTATGTTCCTATTACCATTTTCTTAATTGTTATTGGTTTGTTTTTTTTAACATCTTTATTGGAGTAAAATTGCTTTACAATGGTGTTAGTTTGCTTTGTAACAGAATGAATTAGCTATACGTATACATATATCCCCGTATCTCCTCCCTCTTGCGTCACCCTCCCACCCTCACTATCCCACCCCTCTAGGTGTTCACAAAGCACCGAGCTAATCTCCCTGTGCTATATGGGTTCTTTTTTGTAGTTCCTTTTCTTCTATTGTGTTTTCCACTTAGAGAAGTTCCTTTAGCTTTTGTTGTAGAGCTGGTTTGGTGATGCTGAATCTCTTAGCTTTTGCTTGTCTGTAAAGCTTTTGATTTCTCCATCAAATCTGAATGAGATCCTTGCCAGGTAGAGTAATCTTTGTTGTAGTTTCTTCCCTTTCATCACTTTAAATATACTGTGCCACTCCCTTCTGGCTTGTAGAGCTCCTGCTGAGAAATCAGCTGTTAACCTTATGGGAGTTCCCTTGTATGTTATTTGTCATTTTTCCCTTGTTGCTTTCAATAAGTTTTGTTTGTCTTTAATTTTTTTCAGTTTGATTATTATGTGTCTCGGCCTGTTTCTCCTTGGGTTTACCCTGCCTGGGACTCTCTGCGCTTCCTGGACTTGAGTGGCTATTTCCTTTCCCATGTTAGGGAATTTTTTGACTATAATCTCTTCAAATATTTTCCCGGATCCTTTCTCTCTCTCTTCTCCTTCTGGGACCCCTATAATGCAAATGTTGTTGTGTTTAATGTTGTCTCAGAGGTCTCTTAGGCTGTCTTCATTTCTTTTCATTCTTTTTCTTTATTCTGGTCCACAGCAGTGAATTCCACCATTTCTGTCTTCTAGGTCACTTATCCATTCTTCTGCCTCAGTTATTCTGCTCTTGATTCCTTCTAGTGTAGTTTTCATTTCAGTTATTGTATTGTTCATCTCTCTTTGTTTGTTCTTTAATTCTTCTAGGTCTTTGTTAAATTTTTCTTGCATCTTCTTGATCTTTGCCTCCATTCTTTTTCCGAGGTCCTGGATCATCTTCACTATCATTATTCTGAATTCTTTTTCTGGAAGGTTGCCTATCTCCACTTCTTTTAGTTGTTTTTCTGGGGTTTTGTCTTATTCCTTCATCTGGTACAAAGTCCTCTGCCTTTTCATTTTGTCTATCTTTCTGTGAATGTGGTTTTCCTTCCACAGGCTGCAGAATTGTAGTTCTTCTTGCTTCTGCTGTCTTCCCTCTGGTGGATGAGGCTATCTAAGAGGCTTGTGCAAGCTTCCTGATGGGAAGGACTGGTGGTGGGTAGAGCTGGCTGTTCCTCTGGTGGGCAGAGCTCAGTAAAACTTTAATCCACTTGTCTACTGATGGGTGGGGTTGGGTTCCCTCCCTGTTGGTTGTTTGACCTGAGTCGACCCAGCACTGGAGCCTACCCGGCTCTTTGGTTGGGCTAATGGTGGACTCTGGGAGGGCTCACGCCAAGGAGTACTTCCCAGAAGTTCTGCTGCCAGTGTCCTTGTCCCCACGGTGAGCCACAGCCACTCCCCGCCTCTGCAGGAGACCCTCCAACAGTAGCAGGTAAGTCTGGTTCAGTCTCCTATGGGGCCACTGCTCCTTCCCCTGGACCCTGATGCGCACGCTACTTTGTGTGTGCCCTCCAAGAGTGGAGTCTCTATGATTCCCCCAGTCCTGTCGAAGTCCTGCAATCAAATCCCGCTAGGCTTCAAAGTCTGATTCTCTAGGAATTCCTTCTCCCGTTGCCGGATCCCCAGGTTGGGAACTGACGTGGGGCTCAGAACCTTCACTCCAATGGGTGGACTTATGTGATATAAGTGTTCTCCAGTTTGTGAGTTACCCACCCAGCAGTTATGGGATTTGATTTTATTGTGATTGCACCCCTCCTACCATCTCATTGCGGCTTCTCCTTTGTCTTTGGATGTGGGGTATCTTTTTTAGTGAGTTCCAGTGTCTCCTGTCTATGATTGTTCAGCAGTTAGTTGTGATTCTGGTGCTTTCACAAGAGGGAGTGAGCGCATGTCCTTCTATTTTGCCATCTTGAACCAATCTCTGTGTCATTTAATTCTAATAACCACTCAGTTGGCGTATGTAGGACCTACAGTGTATAAAACAGAAAACTTAAACTCAAAGCATTTTACACTATTCCTCATCTAATCCTCTGGTCATTCACATGAGGTCATCCATGGCGTTACATACACAGAATTTACAGTGATGAAACAGATTCAGAGAAGGACAGTGACTTGCCCAACTCCTCTTCCCCTACTCTGCTTTAGTTGTCTTATTAGTACTTATTATTTGTGAATATAATATATATCAATTTATGTATTCGTTTGTCAGGTCCACTAGAGTATGCACTCCATGAGGGCAGGGAATTTATGTTATCTGTGGCTGTGTAACAAATTACTCCAAAACTCAGTGCCTTAATACAACATGCATTTATTATGTCACAGTTTCTGTGGGTTAGGAATTCAGAGGCAGCTTAGCTGAATGATTTCAGCTTAGGCTCTCTCATGAGGTAATAGTCCGGATGTCAGCTAGGGTTGAAATCATCTGAAGGCTTGACTGGGGCTGGGACATCTGCTTCAAGGATCACTCATGTAGTTGTCAGCAGGAAGGCTTTGTTCCTCTCTGGCTGTTGGCTGGAGGGCTTAGTCTCTCACCACATGGGCTTCTCTTCATGACATGGCAGCTGGCTTCCTCCAGAGTAAATGATCAAAGACAGAACAAGGCAAAACCTTATTATATACAAAACGTTTATAGCATAGCATTGGCGGTGACGTACGTTCACTACTGCCATACTCTATTGGTGACACAGACCAATCCTGATATGTTGTGGGAGGGACTACACAAGGGTGTGAATAACTGGAGTTGGCTTTCATCGGGGGCCATCTTGGAGGCTGGCTATGGCTAACACAGACACTTTCTCTCTTGTTTACTATTATTACTATTATCCCAACATGGAGAAGAGTACTTTGCATATTGTAGGTCCTTAGTAAATACTTGTTGAATGAGTGGGTGGGTGGATTTAGAACACAAAATGTATGTCTTTAGAAAAAGGACCATTCATGGATTCTAAGTTGTTGGGGAGGGGCATGGAAGATGAGTACTAAAATAAAAATAATTGTCAGATGTAAAATGTAAGGAGAATTCACTCATTTTTTTATTATATCTTTCCGTCAGATGTGGAAACATGAGGGCTTTTTTGCACTCTATAAAGGATTTTGGCCAAACTGGCTTCGACTTGGACCCTGGAACATCATTGTATCCTTTTGGAACATGAGAATGGAAGTACATGCTTCAAGCTCCCAGGTAATTCTAGGCTATAGGAAGGAAAATTTGATTATTGAAGCCTTTAGGCAAGTGAGAATCTACTCAAGCATTCTAATGGTGACCACTGCGGGTGGAACTAAGTACAGAAATGGCTTTCAGTTGGAGTCTAATACAAACTAAAGGGATTAGAAAAGAAATGCCAAAGTTTCTTTTCCTCTTTAAAACAAACAACAACAACAAACACAGCCAAATCTGGAAGGGGCTAGGAAGTTTTGGGAAACCCTGCTAGGAGATGTCCACAGGAAGGTCCATGCTGAGGTAATCCATATTTCCTACCCCTAAGTGTATGACTAAAATAGCTGGGGAAATAATAAGACAGAAAACACTCATAGAGCAAAAGAATCCAGAGCGAAGCAGGGCTCTTTCCTCATGGATGACCCTCCTTCCTTTAGCTGTGTTTGAGTGCCTCCTATGGGAAGAGCCATGAGTTGGATAGTGTGTGTGGTGGTGTTTGTACAGTGGTGAGCACTTCAGGGTTGAAAAGTAATCCTTGCCCTTGTGGAGTCTATAGGTTAATGGAGATAGTATCTCCCTCCCTCCTTGGGATTCCTCTGATCGCCTAATGTCTGTAACAGTTACTCTAGCACTGAATTATATGTCGTTGATGTTCTTGGGTATTTGTGTGTGTGTGTGTGTGTGTGTGTATGGCCTGTTTGCCCCTGAAGAATATAAATATGTTAGAATTTTAATATGTTTATATTGCTAAATGCCAGCAATCAAAATTGGCACATGGTGGGCACTCAACACATGCTTGATTTGCTAGATATTGTTTTAAAAAAGACTTTTAAACAAATGCAACTTAGAATAGCACAGACTAAGTACCTCAATTTAAGAGAATGCAATGCACAATTTTAGAACCGGGTTTGACTTTCAGTATCATCCCAGTGATCTTCCATGACTTACTCTTCAGTTTTTTATTACATACGAGCAGCTCAAGAGGCTTCAAATCTAAGGACTGAATATATGTGAGTCAAGCCCTGCCAACCTTTCTACTCTTCTTTTCCCTTTTTCTGTGTTCTAATGTATTTTGACAAAGTTGTAAGTGTTTACTGAATCATTGGTCTCCCAAGGCCCTCCTGATGGAAGAACGATAGGATGGTTCAAAATTGCTCATGTGTTTGTGTTGCCATGTGAACTTTTCCCTGAGAGGGAGTATTAACACTGAGACTCTGGCCCCAGATTGGTATCTTCTGTGAAGATGGATACTGATAGATGACACTCAAAATGACCTTCTCTTCAAATGTGGGTTAAATGTAGTTTGTTAGCCCCAGACTTGGGCTAGAGCAGAAGGCATAGGCCAGGGCAGTTACTGCTATTTATGTTACAGACCTCGGTTCTCATTAAAGTATTTATTGGCAGAATAACTTTGGCTTTGTCTTCATTTACTGTTTTCTCATTTGCCAAATCTTTATATTATATTCTCCAGAAAGCAATAAAGAGAAGGTGATTATGAAGTTGAGTCTGGACTCCCAAAGCACATTTATGGGAATGGACTAAGTACATTGTGCTTTCCCATTGCCATTCATTGTCATAAGGCCACTTGTAAACATCAGACAAGTGGTTCTATCCTAAAGAATGCATAAACAAACAAGGGGCTCATTTGGAAGTTTCCACAGATAAAAAGCTGAAAGAGGCTTAAGATAGAACCCTGTGTGCAGGATTCTAATTGTCTTACAGGCAAAAGGTTCTGGCTACTTTCTTGTACCAGAATAGTGCCTACCACATTGTAGGCACTCAAATATTTGTGAGATGAATACTTTAGTTCTTCATCTTTATCCATTCATTCATTTGTTCAACAAACATTTATTGTTATCTATTATGTCTTAGATGCTGGGGATGTAAAAATAAATTAAAACATAGTCTCTGATTTCAAGGTCACATTATAGTAGGAGAAACAGACATGTAAGTAGGTACTAAGTACAGTACAGTAGGTACTAAGTACTGTCTGAGAGATGAACTAAGTGCTGTAGAAGCACAGAGGAGGAAACAGACAATTACCTAGGGGATTGGCCAAAGGCTTCATAGTGGAGGTGACAGTTGTGCTAAAAAGCAGATGTTACCAGGTAGATAAGGCAGGGAAGGACATTCCAGGCAGGGGAATGGGGGAAATTTCAACATGGCTGAAATAAAGGGTTATGGTTTTCAAATACCACCTGAGGCAGAATCACCTGGAGATCTTGTGAAAATGTAGATTCTTGCACCCTGTCACCTGAGATCCTAACCTTATTTGGGGCAAAGGCATTTGCTTTTGTCATAGGCACTTGATGGAGGGTGATCCTTAGATTACACTTTGAGAAGCACTTGTAAAGAAATATGGGCTAGGGACTTCCCTGGTGGTCCAGTAGCTAAGGCTCCGCCCTCCCAATGCAGGGGGTCTGGGTTCGATCCCTGGTCGGGGAACTAGATCCCGCATGCATGCCACAACTAAGAAGTCCATATGCCACAACTAAGAGCCCACGTGCTGCAACTAAGCCCCGGTGCAGGGCTTCCCTGGTGGCGCAGTGGTTAAGAATCCGCCTGCCAATGCAGGGGACACAGGTTCGAGCCCTGGTTCAGGAAGATCCCATATGCCGCGGAGCAACTAAGCCTGTGCGCCACAACTACCGAGCCCACACGCCACAACTACTGAAGTCCACGCGCCTAGAGCCCATGCTCTGCAACAAGAGAAACCACTACAATGAGAAGCCCGCACTCCACAACCAAGAGTAGCCCCACTCGCCGTAACTAGAGAAAGCCCGTGCGCAGCAACAAAGACCCAACGCAACCAAAAATAAATAAACAGATTAATTAATTAAAAAAAAGATCTGGTGCAGCCTAAATAAATATTTTTTAAAAGTAAGGTGATTTGAAAACAGAAAAGTAATGTTAATTTAAAAAAAAGAAATATGGACTAGAATGAAAGGAAATTAGAATAGTGTGGCCAAAAGGGTCAAATTGTGAAGGGTCTCTATATATCCTAAGAAAGAGTTTGGCTTTTATCCTGGAGGGAGGGGCCAGGCAAAGGAAGTTTAAAATAGGGAATAATATAACCAGCTTTTATTTTTTAGGAAGATAATCCTTGTGTGGAGGGTAGCCTGGAAGGGAGCAACCCAAACAAGGTTAAGCCCCACTGAGCTTTACTCCCCTTTTTGTACAGGTAGACAAAATAGGGTCCAGAAAAGCTAAGAAAATTTGTCCTAAGTCACATAGCCTGATTATGGCAGATTTGAGGCCAGCACATAGTTATCAGATTCCTTCTCTGTCTCATTCTACCACCCCACAGTGTCTTCTTAATTGTCAATCTAAAGTACTACCTTTTCAAAATAAATTTTAATAGACTTAATTTTTTAGAGAAGTTTTAGATTCGTAGCAAAATTGTGTGGAAGATACAGAGATTTCCCGTGTACCTCCTACCCCCGCATACATGCAGCTTCCCCTTGATCAAAATTCCTCACCCAGGGTGATTAATTTGTTACAGTCAATGAACCTACATTGGCACATCATTATCAGTTCACATCCATCATTTATATTAGGGTTCACTCTCAGTGTTATACATCCTGTGGGTTTTGACAAATGTATAATGACATGTATGCACCATTATAGTATCATACAGAATAGTTTCACTATCCTAAAAATCCTCTGTGCTCTGCCTATTCAGTCTTCCCTCTCCCCTAAACCCCCAGAATCCACTGATCATTTTACTGTCTCTATGGTTTTGCTTTTTCCAGAGTGTCATATAGTTGGAATCAAACAGTATGTAGCCTTCTTAGGCTTATATGGGCTATACTATATATAAGTATATATCACTTAGTAATATATACTTAAGGTTCCTCCATGTCTTTTCATGGCTTTATAGCTCATTTTCTCTTTTTTCTTTCTGAATGTACCACAGTATATTTATCCATTCACCTACGGAAGGACGTCTTGGTTGCTTCCAAGTTTTGGCAGTTATGAATAAAGCTGTTATAAATATTCATTTGCAGGCGTTTATGTGGACACAAGTTTTCAGCTCATTTGGTTAAATACCAAGGAGTGCAATTGCTGGATTGTATGGTAAGCATATGTTTAGTTTTGTAAGAAACTGCTAAACTATCTTCCAAAGTGGCTTATAAAGCTTTTATGTGCCAGATACTGTTTTAAGTGTATTATGTTTATAAAACTGTTTACATCCTTTCAACGATCCTATGAGATAGGTACTATTCTTATTTTTCAGGTGAGGAACTGAGGCACAGAAAGGTAAAAACTTCATTCCTAGGAAATGGCAGAACCAGGATTCTAACCCAGGCCATCTGGGTCATGAGCCCATGCTTATAATCACCATGCTAGAGGTGTACTGACTTAGCCTTGTCCAGGGTCACTTAAAGTTTATGGCAGGTGAGCAGTAAAGAATACTGATTTCATTAGTTCCCCTGTCTTTATAGCACCCTGGGAGAAAGAAGGTCAATGGTCGTTGTGGTTGATCACTCTTTGACACTTAACTGTAAGACTAGATTTAAATTACTTTCCTGGAGACCTGTGACTGCAAATATATCATTTTCTTCTTATTCTCCACTTTCTACTGCTTCCTTATGTTTCCTTTGTTGGCCTTTCTTCTCCATGACCTCCTTCCTCACTATCCCCCTCTTCCTCCCCAGTCTAAGTGAGCATACCATACACACAGGAGTTTGTTCTTGTTGTATGTAATACTATTTATTGAAGAACAGATGTCACTGATTTCTTTTTTTTTTAAGTCTTTATTGAATTTGTTACAATATTGCTTCTGTTTTATGTTTTGTTTTTTGGCCCCGAGGCATGTGGGATCTTAGCTCCCTGGCCCGCACCCCCTGCATTGGAAGGTGAAGTCTTAACCACTGGACTGCCAGGGAAGTCCCAGGTCTCACTAATTTCAAATTGAGTAATTTGAACATGGGACTAGACTTCTCACCCTCTTTCCTCCTGTGCAAAGAAGTCTGTTGTTAGGCTTATAAATTTATGGGAGGAATGATTAAACTTCTAAGAACCTGATTATAAATACTTCTTTTCTATTCACTAAAACATATCCCTTAAGGGATAATATTTTTGATCTTCATATCTTCTCAGTTAGCATGGCCACTCGCATTAATCTTAATTCCTGAGGTTTCAGTAAAGGATATCTCTTCTCTCTATCCAGTGTCTCAGATCAGCATCAGAATTCAGTTGTATTAGGGGCTGTGCCTAACTCATTATAAACACTCTTCATGCATCCTTGGCTCTCCCGTTTATTTAGCAAATAAGAAAAACAATTTAACACGTCATTGCATAAGATTACTAAGGGACCTGGTAATCTTAAAGTGGTAGTTGGAATTTTGGATCATGAGCCCGTTTTCCACATTTGAAATAACCCCACAGCCATTCAGCTCTAATTTCTTGGTTCAGTTTTCTTACTTTTTAAACCACCTCTGAGATGACAGAGATGACTGAGATGACATCAGTTTGCTCTTCCATAGGATGTGCTTTAGTATTTGTCGAATGGCTCAGTGGGCAAATCCGCAGAACTATTATGAGTGGTAAAAGCACAATGAACAGTTTTGTAAGACAGCATGGCATTTTACTGGGCCAATGACTGTTATCTCAGCATGTTCATCATCTTTTTAGTGCCATAATGTCAACTCAGTTGAGATAGAACTGGAACCAATATGGATTTATTATATTAAATGGGAAATATAATTCAATCATGGAACTATTGGGTAACATCCACCAAATGAAAAGAAACCTAAAAAATTAGAGAACCCCCCAGCCCTCAGGTTCTTGGTCTGATTTTAGTCCCTCTGGAGCTTTGGAGCAAATGAATTCTGCCCGTGCCATTGTGTAGAAGGCATTTTGAAAGAAACAGGAGCTGCTTTGTGCATTAAAACAGACTCTGAGACCCTTAGTAGCTGCATTAGTTGTTTCTAGGACTCCTCATGAGAGGGCTCTTTGAGCTCAGTGGCTGCTTATGGTCCCAACAGCTTGTAAATCCAGTGAACATATGGCTGGCTAGTAGCATGTTAAGCTCTCCCACACTTCACCCTGCCACAGTGGATCCATTAGGTGGAGCACATCTTTCCTGGTCAGCAAGGCTGCGAGACCATGGCTTCGAGGCTTCAGCTGCATCAAGACCTGGCTCCTGGCTCCATGTGATCATATTTTCATATTCTCGTGCCTATTTAGCATTTCATGGTATTGCACAAAGCCACTATCAGAAGATTTTAAGAGTGAAAACACACTGAAATTGGTATCTGTATATCACACGATGCTGTATCAATGATGCAGTTGTCCTGTGAGGGGTGTTGTTAGACTGCTGTGTCCCATTAGTCCAGAATTCTGGATTTGCAGATTAACTCTAGCAGTAGGGCATAGCAACAGGTTTCCTTTTGTTAAAAAAAAAACTGGTCAGCCCCCTTGGTATGGTTTATGCTTTCAGGAAGCCATGCACTTTTATTTCTTTGAGATATTCATATCACTGTGGTCTGTTCATTTATGGCTCACTTTTGACTTCTCATAGCAAATATCCTAGGGAAACATTACCTTTCAAGAAAGGCCAGTAAAAGTATGAATCAAAATTCTTATAAGTGTTTAATGCTCCTTGACCTAGTAATACTACTTTGGAGAATTTTATCTTAGGGGATTAAACAGACATGTCAAAGATTTATATACAAGGGTATTTACAGTGGTATTATAACAGTGAGAAATTGGAAATAACATAAATGTACAACTATAGAAAATGGTTAAAATATTATATACTCATGTTGAAAAACATGCAACCCTTAGAACTCATATTTTTGAAGAAAGCTTAATGACATAGGAAAATAGCACAATATAATATTAAGTGAAGAAAACAGATGAAGGAAAATAACAGTGATCATCTCTGGGTGGTATAATTATGGGTAACTTTATGATTTTCTGTATATTCAAAAATTTCTAAAATGAAAAAAATTGCTTTTATAATCAGAAAAAAATAATGAACATCATGCATACATCAATATATAGCTCTAAAAGAAATCCAGGAAAGCTGGAGTAGTTTTAGCACCTAGCCCTCAATAAATGCTTGTGGGGTAGGTAGATGGATGGACAGATGAATGAATGAATGCCAGCTGACACTTGTAGGTACCATCATTGAGTTTATATGATTGCAAGAAATAACAAATGAAGATTTATTAATTAAAAGGAGAAGATTCCAGACCAGTCAGCCATTTGAAGGATGACATGGAAGGTACTGAAGGAGTCACAAAATAAGTGAGTGGCTGATGGCAGCAAGGGGTTGGGTCTGGCCTTGGGCCCATTGCTGTTCTCATTGCCCAGCTGTCAACACCATGTTTCCTCTTGTTCTGTGTGTCCTTGAAGTATCTCTCGAGCCTGCTGTTTTCATTGGTCTCTGTTTAGTTTGGCCAGTGACTGAGCATGTGAGTCACAAGTTCATTTCCCATGTGAACCAGTAAACACTTCACCATATAGGAAGAAGATATCCCAAGGCTAACTCTGGCTGGCCAACTCTCAGAGATGGGCTTTTTGGTCATGTGGACAAGCAGGAGAGTGTTGGTGGATCAGGGCAACCTGCCTCTAACATTTGTGAAACCACTCAAAATGACCCTGTCCAGAGGGCTGTGTGTACTGTTCTTGAGGGTAGTCCTCTGAAACGGAGGTATGCTGTACATAACATTAGCTACCCAAGGAATTAGTATAAAACTTAGTCATGTCACAATGTTTTTTAATGGATTCACAATAAGCTTTTCATGGAAATTATAGATGGGACCAATTGATCTACATTCTGTCCTATAAGGTCTTAATATCTTTTTGGCTATTTTGATCAAATTGCTGAACAGGATCTGGCTTCTCTGCAAGTCCATCAGGAGACAACATTGGATGTGTGAATGAAATCTAAATGTCTCCACTCCAGTGCATTCCCTTATCTGTGCAGGAGCCTGCGTCAAAGAAAGCCATTAGACTCTTTAGCATAGCATTCTGTATCTCTGCTCTTGGTGGCTTATTAAACACAGTGTTCTTAATTGCGGTTACTCTTAAACCCAAGAATATGATAACAGTGCCTTGTTTATATCTGCTCTGTCTTGATCCTGCTAAAGTATTAGATTTATGTTTGTCTTTTCCAGCCTGAGTCACCTCTCATCACTCATTTTTCCTAATGTCTGCAGATGTGACGGATTCCCTTAAATTGGTCAGCTGGATGTTTTATTCTTTAGGTTTTTTAAGGAAGAGGAAGAGAACATTTTCTGAGTACTAACAATGAAATGTGCTGTGGTGTACTAGGCATTTTCATATGCATTGTCTGAATTAATCGTCACTATAGCCAAATAAGGTAGGCATTATCATCCCAATTTTACAAATGAGGAAACTGTGGCCTTGAGAATTTAAATGACTGAATCATAATTTGAACACTGGTCTGTTGGACTTCAAAGCCTGTGATTTTCCCACTGCTCACACTGACTCCCAGGAATAGCAGGGTGTTTTAGACTGAACCTCATAACACAACAATCAGCTGGCCTCCCCTTAGCTCCTGCCTTTCTCCTGTAACTAGCTTCCATTCCACTTTGCTTGTGTTACCTTGGGAAGATCAGTCCTTTGCAGCAAGGCCAGGAAATTAAGCTTTGAACCACCAGTAAGGAGGGCATTGATTTGAGCCTGCTTTCAATTTTGTCCCCAAACCCAGTTACTATTTGTGTTTGTGTTTGGTACCAAATCCCAGACAAATCAATTCATACTGTTTTGGTTTCTTCTGCCCTTTTTTGTTGTCCACTCAGCAGCTTTCTAGGGAGATAATCTAGTTGAGGGCCTTAAGAGACAAACTCTCTAGGAATGTACTGTGGAGACCAGGAGGTTGTGGAAAGGGTTACAGGAAAGCTCAGGAAGGCTGAGCGTGGTTCCTGGGTTTCTTCCCCACTCTGTTCTTGTAGTTTCTGCTGCCAGGGTTGCCCAGGGGGAGCCTGAGTATAATTCCCAGTTGCCAACAGTCATTTTCTGTACCTGCAAGAAAGCAGGATAAGGCTGGTCTCCTGGGCCATTTTGGAGACATCCTCTTATGCAACTGAGTTTCTTAGGAAAATGCAAATTTGGGAGTAAATGGAAGAAGGTCAGTCTCTGAGGAGCAAAGTGGGTCCAGTGTGGAGGGCTTGGCAGTGCCTTTTTTGGTACCTACCCCTTTTTTCCCTTTCTTTCCTTTCAATGTCTCAGAATCTGTGGTTTGGCATCGTCATCAGCAAGTAGCTACAAGTGACATAAGAGGCCAACTGAGGGGAAGGGGCACCACAGAGTTAGGAAGGTGGTGGGTTGGAGGGGTAACAGCAGAAATAATTACAAGACAGGCGATTCGCCAAAGAAACACTGTTTTGAACACCGTGAAGTGTGGAAAAAGACAAGCTTTAGTATCTAATTCAGGTTCCTACATTCGTACAACCTCACTACATAAAATGTCTGATTTACATCAGGGAGGGCAGGACCCCTCATTTCACCAAAGCAATCACTGTAGTACACAGTTAAAAAGAACAGAACCTCATTTCTCTAGTGCTGTGCTTTCTAATATGATAGCCACTGGCCACGTGTAGCTCTTGAGCATTGGCACATGGCTAGTTTGAATTGAGGTATTCTATAAGGGTAAAATACACACCAGACTTCAAAGATTTGGCATGAAAAAAATAGGGTAATAATCTTTTATATTGATTACACGTTGAGTTAATGTTTTAGATATATTGAGTTAAATGAAACATTATTTTCGCCTGCTTTTTTTTTTACCTTTTTAACATGACTACTAGAACATTTAAGATTACATAGGTGGCTTGCATTAGACTTCTATTAGACAGTGCTGCTCTAGTGTATTCAAAAATAAGATTTGAGTTTAAGCATCTTTCCAGTAGTACACTTCTTGCTTTGAGTAAGTATACCTCTACAGGAGAAACAGACTCATCGCAAAAGAAGGGCAGGGAGGAATGGAGATTTGCAAATGGGGAAGCTGATTATAGAGTGAAGTCAGCACCCTGCCTTAGTTACCTCTCAGTCTGAGGTAAGGAGGTGCAGGGGGTGGTCAGTTGCTGGAAGCAAGTGCTCTCTTTTCCCTAGCTCCACCTGGTCTCCTAGCTGGGGCTCTGAGAAGGGAGAGAGGGGCACTTTGAAACTTGTCTGCCCTTACCATCTTAGCCGTCAAGCTCTGAGTGGGAGATGGTGGTGATGTGACGGGCACTTTCCCTGGGCCCCTGTGGGCCACCATCCCTGGCTGAGAGAAGGAGGAGGAATGCGGCGAGCCCCTTCTTCATTCCCAGGGCCATCTGGGAGAACTGTTGCCGTATCTCCTTCTGCCAATAGGCATAGATGAGTGGGTTGAGCAGGGAGTTGCCCACACCAAGCAGCCACAGGTACCGTTCCAGCACTGGGTAGAGGTGGCACTCCTGGCAGGCCACCTGCACAATGCTAGTGATAAGGAACGGGGTCCAGGACAGAGTGAAGCTGCCAATGAGAATGGCCACAGTGCGGACAGCCTTGAAGTCACTGGGGGTCCGTGGGGGCCGGTGAGCCCCGGCTGGGGCTCCTGCATGCTCTGTCTTGCGGATCTGCTGGCTGTGCATGGAAGCAATCTTGAGTATGTCACAGTAGAAGAAGACAAAGAGGAGCAGGGCTGGGAAGAAGCCAACGCAGGAGAGGGTCAGCACGAAGCGTGGGTGAAACACAGCGAAGAAGCTGCAGGGCCCCTTGTAGGCGGTCTGCTGGAATACGCGGACCCCGAGTGGGAGGAAGCCAATGAGGTAAGACACCAACCACAGCCCGGCAATGCAGGCCCCGGCCATGAGCCCGTTCATGATCTGGAAATAGCGGAGGGGCTGCTTGATGGCAAGGTACCTGTCAAAGGCAATCAGCATGACCGTGAGGACAGAGGCAGCTGCAGAAGAAGTGACAAATGCCATCTGAAGGCTGCACAGGGTCTTCTGTGTGGGCCGAGCCGAGCTGGAGAGCTGGTCTGTGACTAGGCCAGAGATGGCCAGGCCAAGCGAGGTGTCAGCCACAGCCAGATTCAAGGTGAAGCTGAGACCGACACCATCATTCTTGTGGATCAACGACAGCACAGCCATGACCACTAGGGCATTAGCAGCAATAATGAGGGAGGCCAGGATAGCAAGGATCACTCCAAATGAGAAAGATGACTCCATGTCTTGAAGTGGCAGTATTTCCACTTACCAGGGCATGCTGGCTCTCCAGCTCAAATTCTCACGGTGGGGAGGCAGAGCGGTGGGTTCAGAGCTGCAACGCAGTGCCGGCCATCGCTGGCAGTCCAGGCCGGCAGCTTCCTTTCTTTGGGATACTGCTGGTCACTGAGAATCACTCCCCGTCTCGTTTTCAGTCCTCAGCCTCTTGCCTCTCCAACTCTCTGAAGGCAGCAATCCCAGCGCAGACGTTTCCCTGGGTCCTGAGCTAGTCCCTCCTCCCACCACCAAGTTACTAGACAACTCCCAAGTACCTGCTGCCCATTGTCTCACCAGGCTCCCTCCCTTCACTGATGTTTCAAGGACTTTGGAGAGACTCGGACATTCATCAGGTCTTCCATCTGGCAGAATATATAATTGATTCTAATCACACTTTTTCTTTCTCCATAGCTTGATCTTAGATGTCCACTTCTTTTCTTCCTAAGCCTCAAGTTCTAGCTTAACAACTAATCTCAGTTTAATTAAGCATTTGCTTAATAACAAATTCTCAGTTACTATTATGTCTGCTTTTAATCAAGCAAGATGATCATAATCAGTTGAAGTGGGAAGCAGGGCAGACAAGCTATTTTAGGGTCTAGCATACTTTCAGGGGAGTTACCACACGCTTAGGCTGTTTCTTTTTTTTTCTTTTTAACATCTTTATTGGAGTATAATTGCTTTACAATGGTGTGTTAGTTTCT